AGTTTCCCAGACATTGATTTAGTCAACAGGAGTTTATGGGACATTCATTCCATTAATGTCCTGTTTAACCATACCTTACATAATATTATACTTTTGTCGTGTTTTAAATTAAACGTAACATCTTTTACATATTTATAATTAGGAAAACATTGACTTTTTAAAGGTTAGGTTATAGTTGGATTTATAACTTCTAAGAACTTTCATTTTATATTTGTAAGGTATGGTTAAATTTAGATTATTTTGTGAGTTAACGAAAATATATACTATCTTTTTTTAGGGGATTATGGGTTGGTGAGTAGGATATTCGACGGTTATGTTTATTTTGGAAAGATTAGTCGAGTGTTACAAGCTTGTATCACTACATTGTTATAAAAAAACAAAAACAAAACTTATCAAATATTTTTTCAAAGCATATAAAATCTGTGCACAAATGTACGATGGGTTACTGATTTCCCATATGAGAATTCATGAAACCAAACTACTCATAAACATGCACCCATGTATTTTTAATAGTTCACAACAATGTAAGATCCAAATCAAAAAAATATCTTATCCAAAAACACATATGGGTAAAACAACTATCATTTACAATCTACGATCATCATTACAAGAGATCATTTGCTCCAAGAAAATATTAAGAATCAAACTTAGACCAACCAACAAGAGAAAAGTAAACGGACCATACAAATACTTTTCAACTCCTAATACTAATTATATAACCAACATGTTTTGTATTGGTTATCTCAACTCAAATATCAAGACTTTTTTTTATTTCTTTACGTTGGATGGATTAACGAACCTATATATCATGATTCAAAACGCTTTAGGCAATTTGAAGGTTGAAAAAAAAAAACTTAATAATGGATTTGGTTGATCTTTGAAAACTGCACTTATATAACACATAAGAAATTATCTTCAACACAATTATATTTTGGTTTATATATAGAGGCTAATGGGTCTAGGGAATAAGCTATTCAACATTACATTCATTTTGAAAAGATTAGTTGAGTGTTAAAAGCTCGTATTACTACATTGTTTATAAAAAAAAAAACTAGTAAAAAAAACAAATTCAAGGTATCTAAGATCTTGAAACAAATAGACACACCTGACTCTTCAACATTGGTATATGATATAATTCTGCAAACAACTGAAAATAAATGTCAAACAAAATCTTGAAAGCTACTGCTGAAATAATGATTAGTGAAAAGTAATTTTATTGTTTAAGTCCATCATTATCACTTTAAGGTTATTTTACTTGTATCATTGACTCTTGTAGGAAAGATTAAAAGCAGATGTTGGTAATGGAGAGTTTTGCCACTGTTGATCCTCGTAGCGGAAGAGTCTATGCAAGTATGTCTAATTTTTTAATAGACTATAAATCTGTGCCAGAGATCGTCACTGGTATCAGCGTGATACGGTTAATGGGTTTTGGGTTTTCTAAGAGTTTTAGTATTTTTTCCATTTTGCATTAGAACTAAGGTTAAGTATATTATAAAACTGTTTTGAAACTTAGTTTTTACCCTTTTTATGATTTTAGTATCTTATATTATTTCACGATAGTATTAAATAATTATTGAAAAATAGTTTACTTAGACTCCGTTTTTAAATGTTTTCGTAGGCACGGCACTGATCAAAGACAGGAATTTGACAATTCTCCTTCTAAGTATATAAGGGATACCTTCGAGAGCTTTCTTATTGTCGAGGAAGATTAAGACATTAACATTCTTTCACATGCCTTAGCCAAATCATGTCAATTTGGAATCAGATCAATTCGGAGTCATGTCATTCGAAATCATAACCAACTCATTAAATCAACCATAGTCTAAACTTTATAAATTAAAAACCGAACCAGAAACTTATTAAAGAGTCATAACAGTGAAACAATAATTCAAACTTGAAAAATCAACATAAACATATTAAAAGCGCACCTTTATTCCTTGAATAGCACCAATGCGACTCCATCTCGAGTCTACTCAACAAACTCACCTGTCAAGGGGAATATATAGGGAAAAGAGGGGTAAGTAACAAGTTACTCACTCTAAGTTCAATACACAAGTATGCCTAAAACCAAGTTATAGATCCACAAGACCCGCCTCCTCACCTTTGCCTTGCTGCTGAAGTTGCAATTCGTATTCTGTGTTTGAAATTATGGATTCCATTAATGTCATGTCCTCAAATAAACTTTCCCATAGATATATAATATCGAATGCTTTGTCAACAAATAGCACCCTCTATATAAGATTTACCATCAATTTCTACAAGTTTGCGATCCAAGGCTTGATCAAGAGCTTTACCCATTCCCCTTATGGCTGCCCTGATCAATCGTAGGTCATCCTCATTATGGACTCTCTTTACATCCTCCATCAACTTCTTCTCATAACTATGCAACTGTCACCAAGAAGAATCATTTCACATATGCGTCAGTCAAGATTGTTTAAAGCAATATGGTTAAACTTT